GAGGGTTCTGGGAGTTCTTCTTCCCGAGCCAGACTTAATTTGGTCCACCAGGCTGTTGCTTGGAGCGGCCCGCAGGCCCACATATCCACCACAGCCCGGTTGGTCCGACACTTCTTGCAAGAACCTGTCCGAGTGCCTCTTGAATACATCCACCTTCGTTCCGGCAATATTTCTCATGCTTGCTGGAAGGGTGTTGAACAGCTGTGGACCTCTGATGTTCAGAGAGTGTTCTCTGATTCTATGGCACCTCTACTCCTCACTGGTTCTATTCTGCATTTCCTTCCGTACCTTTCGCTCCAGTATGTTGTTATTCCACTGTGCAAATTTGGGACCTGGCCCTCCAGTATCTTCCATGTATATATTAGTTGATACCTCTCTCGTCTCCTTTCCAGAAAGTACATTTTGAGAGCTTTGAGACGGTCCCAATAATTGAGATGTTTTATCGTTTCTATGCGTGCCGTATATGTTCTCTGTATTCCCTCTTATTTCAGAGAGGAAAGGAATGTCAGGGAGAGGAAGAGAGAGAGAAGGGTGGACACTTGGGGAAAGAGAGGAGGTCCTTACCTATCAGTGCCAATGACTGTTACCTTAGTTCTCAAATCACTCGCTTGCGTTTCCAACTTCCACTCACGTCCTCTTGATACATTTATCTCAGTTGGGAAGGTCCTAGCTATCCCATCTATTCGCTCTGTATTTTGTATGTCGTGATCATATCCTCTCTGGCTCTTCTCGTGAATGATATATGACTTTAACCTGACTTCATACACGACGTTATCCTCCTCCCAGAAGGACTCCTACAGTCCCTGGAACCTTGTCATTTGTGAAAGGCCAAATATGAGAAATAGAGAAAGAGAAATATGACAAAGGTTGGAAGTGCATCGTTAATCAACTACTGCTGTTCTTTGGCAGCCATTCACCTGCGGGCAGTCAGCCACTCACGTGCGAGTGATTAAGCTAATGAGTGTTGGAATAGGTGCAGTGGTTAATGGGATGGAAGAAGGAAGAGGGAAGCAAAAGGAAGTGGCAAGTGGATGCTGAGGTAGAGAGGAATGGAAGGAAGGGGGAAGGAGGGGAGGGAGTGGTAGATAGAGGAGGGGGAAGGAAAGGGGGTGAGAAGGAATGGGAGAGGATGACAGTGAGGGTGCCAGTGCCGCTCACCAGCTGCCTGATGTAAACAAACACACCTCACTCAAGCCTGCCACAGCTGCCCTTCCCCGTGACGGATCCCCTCCCCACCTCCCCACCCCCCCACCCCCCCCCCCTCACACACACACACACACACACACACACACACACACACACACACACACACACACACACACACACACACACACACACACACACACACACACACACACAGTACCCTACTTCCAAGTTGGTATATGCCTCATCTGAGGACTGAATAATAAATGAATATTGAAATTTTACGCACAAATGCTGATGGAATATCAAACACAGCAGGTGAACTGTTTGACAGGATTTGAGAACACTGATCCTGATGCAAATAGCCATAGTAGAAACTAAACTAATATGCCCCAGAGAATATCAAGTTGCACGGAGAGAAGGGAAACAGGGGTTGAGGAAAAGGAGTGTCGCTGCTCGTCAAAGGGAACAAGGGTTTTGAAAAGATCAATAGTGTTAAAAGATGCAAAAAAATAATCCTCAAACCTTTCTTTTTCCTCCCCATTATCTCCATTCTACATCTTCTCAGAGTTTCTTTGGAGTATTGTCCTATTACACACAGAAATCACACTAGCGTGATGCATCAAATGAACAAATCCACAAGGGTAGTAGAACTTCTGGTTGCAATTCTTTTAACCATGTCGTAGCGCAGTCGATTATGGCAGCGTCTGGGATCCTCTCGGACGTGGGTTCGAACCCTCGTCACGGCCCTTGTGGATTTGTTTATTGTCCTATGTTTCTGCTGTAATATCCGGGACTCTCCTCGGGGTGTTAGGTGTAGTGTAGGGACACTTACAGGGTGTATTCTGTAGACATGGTCTACTGTTTTCTAGAGTAGATTACTGGTAACGTAATAGATGTGGGGTCAAGTGATTGTTTCAAGCGTAGGTTAGACATATATGTGAATGAGTTTGGGTAGGTATAAATAGCAGCTGCCTTGTGTTGACTAATTAGAGCTGCCTCGTATGGACCAATAGGAGCTGCCTCGTATGGACCAATAGGAGCTGCCTCGTATGGACCAATAGGAGCTGCCTCGTATGGACCAATAGGAGCTGCCTCGTATGGACCAATAGGAGCTGCCTCGTATGGACCAGTTGGAGCTGCCTCGTATGGACCAATAGGAGCTGCCTCGTATGGACCAATAGGAGCTGCCTCGTATGGACCAATAGCAGCTGCCTCGTATGGACCAATAGGAGCTGCCTCGTATGGACCAATAGGAGCTGCCTCGTATGGACCAATAGCAGCTGCCTCGTATGGACCAATAGGAGCTGCCTCGTATGAACCAATAGGAGCTGCCTCGTATGGACCAATAGGAGCTGCCTCGTATGAATAGGAGCTGCCTCGCATGGACCAATAGGAGCTGCCTCGTATGGACCAATAGAAGCTGCCTCGCATGGACCAATAGGAGCTGCCTCGCATGGACCAATAGGAGCTGCCTCGCATGGACCAATAGAAGCTGCCTCGCATGGACCAATAGGAGCTGCCTCGCATGGACCAATAGGAGCTGCCTCGCATGGACCAATAGGAGCTGCCTCGCATGGACCAATAGAAGCTGCCTCGCATGGACCAATAGGAGCTACCTCGCATGGACCAATAGGAGCTGCCTCGCATGGACCAATAGGAGCTGCCTCGCATGGACCAATAGAAGCTGCCTCGCATGGACCAATAGGAGCTGCCTCGCATGGACCAATAGAAGCTGCCTCGCATGGACCAATAGAAGCTGCCTCGCATGGACCAATAGGAGCTGCCTCGCATGGACCAATAGCAGCTGCCTCGCATGGACCAATAGGAGCTGCCTCGCATGGACCAATAGCAGCTGCCTCGCATGGACCAATAGGAGCTGCCTCGTATGGACCAATAGCAGCTGCCTCGCATGGACCAATAGCAGCTGCCTCGTATGGACCAATAGCAGCTGCCTCGTATGGACCAATAGCAGCTGCCTCGTATGGACCAATAGCAGCTGCCTCGTATGGACCAATAGCAGCTGCCTCGTATGGACCAATAGCAGCTGCCTCGCATGGACCAATAGCAGCTGCCTCGCATGGACCAATAGCAGCTGCCTCGCATGGACCAATAGGAGCTGCCTCGCATGGACCAATAGCAGCTGCCTCGTATGGACCAATAGCAGCTGCCTCGTATGGACCAATAGCAGCTGCCTCGTATGGACCAATAGCAGCTGCCTCGCATGGACCAATAGCAGCTGCCTCGCATGGACCAATAGCAGCTGCCTCGCATGGACCAATAGCAGCTGCCTCGCATGGACCAATAGCAGCTGCCTCGCATGGACCAATAGCAGCTGCCTCGTATGGACCAATAGGCCTTCAGCAGTTTCCTGTATTCTTGTAGTCCTAGTCTGGGCCAGCTGTGCTTACGCCTATTATAAGTCCGTGATAGTTCATAATAGTTATTGATGGCGTGGGACTTGAATAGGGCAGTGAGAGTTACTCTCATGTCCGAAATTCCCCCTTTCTGTTGGTCTGATCCTCTGGGCTGTTGCTGTTGGCAGCCTGCAAAGCCCCACCACCACCACCTACCCCCCTAAAAGCTCCTCTTATTTATCTTGACCTCAACGAACTTGGTGTTAAATCCTTCCTGAGTGGGTTCCGAACCCTGGAGAGTGTTGGATCTTGTGTGCTGACAACGTAATTAGCCCGGAAGCCTTTCATTTGGTCAAGGGGGGGGGGAGGGGAGGGGTGTGTTTGGCCTTGAGCCCAGGCTTACTACCCGTGTTTGTGTGGGCTGCACCAACAGTCTGGGTGATCCACACACACACACAGGTATTGGCGCCTGTTTGTTTGCTCGTGTCGAATTAGATTTCCAGCGAGGGTTTGATGCTGCGGGTGCGCGCGAGCGCGTGTGTGTTCGTGCGTGTATTTGTTATTTGGATTTACTAAATGTACCAGCATAAGCGAGCTATTAGCTCTTGCACCCCGCCTTTCTAACATCTATTTTTCCTCTGTTGTGTTTACACACACTGGGGCGCCGGTGGCTGTGTGGAAAGCACGCTGGACACGTAATCCTGTGGCCCGGGTTCGATTCCTGGCGTCGGTGAGAAACAATGGGCAGAGTTTCTTTCACCCTGATGCTTTGTTCACCAAGCGGTAAATAGGTACCTGGGAGTTGGACAGCTGTTACGGGCTGCTTCCTGGGTGTGTGTATTCACCTAGTTGTGTTTGCGGGGGCTGAGCTTTGCTCTTTCGGCCCGCCTCTCAACTGTCAATCAACTGTTTACTAACTACTTTTTTTCCACACCACACACACACACACACACACACACACACACACCAGGAAGCAGCCCGCGACAGCTGACTAACTCCCAGGTACCTATTTACTGCTAGGTAACAGGGGCATTCAGAGTGAAAGAAACTTTGCCCATTTGTTTCTGCCTCGTGCGAGAATCGAACCCGCGCCACAGAATTACGAATCCTGAGCGCTATCCACCATGCTACGAGGCCTCATATGTATGTGTGTGTGTGTGTGTGTATGTGTGTGTATGTGTGTATGTGTGTGTGTGTGTGTGTGTGTGTGTGTGTGTGTGTGTGTGTGTGTGTGTGTGTGTGCGTGTGTGTGTGTGCGTGTGTGTGTGTGTGTGTGTGCGTGCGTGCGTGCGTGCGTGCGTGCACGCAACACTGGCTGAATATCCACCCTCCTCTGTCCCAGGTCCCTGAAGGGGGCCCAAAACATGGTCACATGCGGGCCCCACAGGACGTACCCCAGAGCAACTGTGGGTCTAGCTTGTGACTGATGTGTAGACGCCGCATATTTTTGTCCGTAATGAGTATGTTGGTTTTAATAAGTGTGTTGCTTCTCTCCCTCAG